GGAGCTTATCTGAAGCCAATGTCATCTGCTGAAGTTCAGGGGACTGCCAAGGGTGTGGGCTGCAGCACAAATGCACTGACTCAGTACTGGCTGTGGAGGAGTGACAGGTCCCATCCAAGAGATACTGGTGCTGTGGAACACAGGTGAGGAGTCCCATGTTGGCTGGCTGCTGGAGCCAGGTTCTGCTTCCACGCTCTCCTCTGTCCCCAGACTGAAAACTTTTGTTCCTGCTGCTCCCTGGGTTTTCCAGTGATTCAGGCTGTAGGAAGGTCCAGCCCTCCGACTTCAGAGTCTGAACGGTCTCTGCAGATGGTTATGAGGCTTGGAGTGGTGAAACTATGCTCTGGAGGTTTTCCTCCACTCTTCTCTCAGCAGTGCTGAGCTGACTTTGGCTCACTAGGATTGGTATTTAAAAGACTTGCTGCTGTGTGTGGTCCCTGTAAAAATAAATCTCCAAAGGAAACATGTTATGTGGTGAAAGTCTGCCAAGTCCCTGTTGCTTATTAGTGTGTAGTATTATGTAGGAGAGACTTAACTCTATAGTCTGATGTAGGGTAATTCTTTGATGAACTGTCAACTATTTTGAAGATTTGAGTTTAAAGCCTGTTGCTCTATAGGGTGAAGACTGAGCCATTGGCTTTGTGGGCTTTTGGTTTTGAGTGCCTTGACACATTTGGCAGAGCCCTGAAACAGTAATTTGTCATTTCAGAGGGTTTTGGTGTGTGAGTTCACATCAAGAAAAGCTTTGAAAGCAGTGATCAGGGATGACGTTTTTCAGAGCAGTCCAGAAGAACAAAGGTTAAAATATGAAATGGAATTAAACATGTGCAACTAAATAGACTGACTTGAAAATGTTGATCCAAGACTTCCTTCAAAAGCAGTGACCACTTGATTTAAATTTTTTGAGAATTCCTCATCTATGGTGCAGCCAGACCTTGACTACTTACCACTCTAACTTACATCCTGATCAGATACCATGCTGTGCTATCAGATGGAATTTTTTATAGAAGTCAGGATGATGTATAGCAAAAAAACTGGGCATTGATATAGAGAGTACATAAGACTGCAACTCCTGATGGTGCTAGAAACTGGATTTTCTAGGTGTACGTGAAGAAGTTAGCACAAACTCACAAAATCCCTTCTGCCTGCACTCTGTCTTTCCAAAGTATCACAGTTGCTCAGCAGTGTCAACAAACATGTCTTTATACAGATTTAGTCACACAGGCAAAAGTCTAAATGTTAGCTTCCTGGAGGAAAGATGATTCACCTGATTTAAAGCAGATAATTTAATCTGAAGAGCTAAATTCATCTTTCCTTTTTAGCTAGCTGAAATTTTTGATGGGAAGAAGAATTTTCTGTCCAATTCTCAATCTGCCTGAAATGGTTTAGATTACAGTGTCTCAGGCGGTGAGTCTCTTCTGATGTAAACAGGTTTTGACTAGCCTTAACTTCTTGAGGCCAGTGAAGAAGCTCTTGTTCCTGACCAACAGAAATGAAGTCAGGACCAGGCCCTTGTGTTCATCAAGAACAAAGTGTTTATTTCTGTGCCTCATTGCATAGCCCAGACAGTGGCCATGAGGTGATCCTGTTCTCATTTGGAGGGAAGCAAATATGGTGTGATTTCACTGAGAACATGTGAAATCAGGCTGGCTCCGTGGCTCTTCACCTCTGATGATGTTCTGGCTGCTGAGGTCCTTGGTTCATGGCAGGATTAAAGAACAACTGTACTGGAGGTGATTTTGGCGCCTTTAAGGACTAGCTTGAGGTTTTACCCAAGATGAACATTACCATCACTGGCTGTAGACACCTTATCCTTCAGTCAGGAACAAATACCACGTCTCTTGCTGGAGTAATTCTGCTTTTAAAAAGGAAGTGCCCATGCTCCAAAAAGCTTATGGAAGTGTCCCAAGAAGACACATCCATATGGACATGCTTCGTCTTCTCACCGGTGGATATGGTCTCAGATGCGGAAAGAAGTCAAGAGCCACCTGTTAATGCTATTTGAGACCCTTTGCATCCTCGGAACTCTCCATACAAGTTATTCATGGGAGATGAATAAGTTGTACAGTTCCACTGTCTGCATGGGTTTACATCAACCTGGCAGGTTACCCTGGGGTTGTATCCAGATCCTTGGACATCATCCCAGTGTCTGCCTCTTTTCTGCATCACTGAGGACTGAATTTTGTTTCCTTTTCTCTATGCTGGCTGTTACTGTACTTAGCACATGTGGTGTGCTCTGGGGCTTGAACTAGATGACCTTTAAAGGTCCCTTCCAACCCAAATCATTCTATGATTTGTATCTTTGACACATTTTAAAAGTATGAATAAATTTACAGCAGTATTGTGATATAGAAAAGAATTGTTAATCCTGGACAGATTAAACACATGGCGATGAGTGGACAGGTATCATGTAATTTGGAATGGGATCTGATGGAAAGGAGGAGGCTTAAAGTCTTGCCTACTTCTTGCATCTGCATCCAGAAACCTACAGAAGTATACCCTGGAGAGCACAGACCCTGCTTTTTTCCTGTGGTCCTCTCAAGTGCTGATTCCTGAGGAAGGAGAGCAGTCTGTAGTCCGTTCTGTAGTGATCCCACCAAGCACACAAGGATGCACGGGAGCCTTTGAATAAAAGAATTATTTCAGGGACTAAGAAACCTTTTATAAATGTCATGTGTGAAAGTTGCTTTGCAAACAAAGATGAGCTTTCAGTGAGTTTGTGGCAGTTGCCTGGACTATCATCTACAGGGCAGACAAAGCTGGAATAAACACTAACGTTTTCTGTGTAAATGTGGTACTGCTGTGATGTGCCCAAATGACAAAATCTGATGTTTTCATTCAAAACAGACATGATGTGAGGAAAGATTTCCTTCTACAGATGGGAAGACCCTCCCATTTCCAAATCCCATGCTTTCCTAAAATAAAGAGGGGACCAGCACCAGTGGGGTTAGGAGCAGGGTGGTTAGTGGTGCTGCTCTTCTAACTGCAGGATGGAGATCTCCATCCAAAAAGGCAGGGAAGGATTTTGCTGTCCAAGTGGAAGAGCCCAGGACAGTTTTGTAGCAGCGAAGTTCTGCAGTGGAATTGGAAAATAAACTTCCCTTAGTTTGGGATATGAGCCAGATTGAATCTGTTGGGTTAAGCTTGTGTTGAATAACTCCATCCTGAACTCCTTGAGGATTTGAATGAACTGGGATCTGGAGCTCTGGCTTTGGCTTGTGTCTAGTGTTAATGGAGAAAAATTATTCAGGGGCACTGCATGCAGAACCACCAAGTAAATTCTCCCTTTCTGCTTGCCAGTGTAAACTATGAATGCTGTGTAAAACCAGTACAGGAGCAGGACTGTGCCCAGTTCCACTGGTCAATGTTTTTCTTGGTTGCTTTCCTAACACCCAGGAGTCTTGTGCCAGCATTGTGGCACGCGATAGGATAGTAGCCATGACCCCCCTGTACTAGTAATCCTATAACATTGGTGCATCAGTCCGATTATGTGCTTTTTTTAGTGGGGCCAGATGCTTTCTTGGTGAAGCCAAAGGGAATTTGCATCCTTCCAAACATCACCCCAAAACTTGCCCCTTTAAACTTTTTGCTTGCACATCTGCTAACATATCCAGAGCTGGAATAAACACACCCTTTTTTTCCTCTCAAATACAGAGAATACTACAAGCAGATGACTGATGAGGAGAGTAAAAACCACTGAGACAAAGTTACCGTGAAGGGATCGAACAAGGCACTAGGACCTAGGAGGCGTCTCATCCACCCTGGCAGGAATTTCTTGCTTGGAGCTCAGACAACAAAGGCAGAGTGAGCCTGGTTTTCTTTCTCTCAGCATCTCCACCCTGCACGCTGAAAACCGGTGAGTAGAGCTTTTTTGAGTGACTTGCATGCAGAAAAGTAACAGATGTCAGATAGAAAGGAGGAATCTTTCTCTCAGTACCTTACAGCATCTGCAGTTCATTTTAAAATCAAAACGCCCTGCATCCTCTGATTCATTCCCGAAGTTGCTTGGATGTTTCATTGTTCACGGCATGACACCAGCCTGAATCTACCCCCTCTGGCATCGTGGGGAAAATGTTCCCAACTTGGGGTTTCTGTGCAGATCACCTACATTGTCTTCTGCTTTATTGCAGACTGGGAACAATGATTTTTTTTGCACTGGTCACATTGACATTGTAGAATACTGGGAAGCAGCTTAGTTCTGGCAAATGTGAGGGGTGGGGAAGAGATAGCAACAGCTTTTTCTAGATTTATACCTGACTGCCAAGTGCTGGGGTAAATCCCCTCTCTGCCCAGCGTTAACGTGCAAGCAACATACGTGAGTTGCATATTCCTGGCTGTGCTGGGGGATTGAAAGGGTCTTTCTGCTGCAGGATTGGGGGTTCCTCCTCCTTTTGTGTTGGGGTTTGGTGGGGAGGAAGGTTGTTCTTGAGCATAAACTAGAGACCCCGCAGAAATTCCTGCTTGCTGGGTGTCAGCTCAAGTCTCAGCTTTACTGTGCTAGTCGCTTGTGCTGGGAGCCCCCAGTGCTCAGAACAATGAAAGGTGAGCTAGCAGGGGCGTTGGGTCCCTTGGGCAGAGGCACTTCCAGCAATTAAATCACTTGAGATTGGAAGGGGGCGGGGGAGGGGTGGAAATAGCCCCTTTATTTTCTCCTCCTCATTAAGTGGGAGCAGAAATGCAATTCAGAGGAGACTCAGGCTGAAAAGAGCTTATCGAAGCCTCCTTTCAATGACAGATTTTTCTTTCCAGTCATTTCTTCTTAGAGATGTAGGCTGGTCCTGGGAATTGATTGATGGGCTAGGAGGGGGCTGCGGATAGGGGGAAGGGTGGGCTGGATCTCATTGCTAACCCGTATTGAACAGGCTGTCACAAAGAAGCTGCTTATTCCCCTGTGACCATTCTTTCATAAACGCCAGTTTATTCTAATGTTAAACATTCAGATGCTCTGGTTCCTTCCGTGATTCGACAGATTGAAGGGCTGACTTACTGGGATCTCCTTGTTTTCTGTTGCCAAAGGAAACCTCACAGGGCTCAGAGGTTTAATTCATTGCCAACTGGTGTTTGGATGAGTTTTTTGGGGGGCTGAGTTGTGATTGCCGTTTAGCCCTTTGGCCCCAATTCACTGCACTTTGAAAACTCCCAGGTGCAGCAGCAGACAGCTCCCTGCCCCCAGTAGTTGGATCCCTTTCAGGATGTGAGGACCCCTCCTACCCTCAGTCCCCAGAATCGATACAAATCTGGGTCAGGGGAGGGTGCGCTTCCCAAATACATCTGTCCTGCTCTGGGCACGGCTCTCGCATTAGCGTTGTTTTTCTCTCTGGATTGTGGCTCTGCTTGGCTCTAACCTGTCCCTTTGCACTCCTTCTCTCCCCATCTCCTTCCTGCTCAGCTTCAAATCTTTAGGGTTCACCAAACTATGGAACTTGATTTTGGACACTTTGACGAAAGAGACAAGGCGTCCAGAAACATGCGAGGCTCACGTATGAACGGGTTACCCAGCCCCACTCACAGTGCTCACTGTAGCTTCTACAGAACCAGGACCTTACAGGCACTGAGTAACGAGAAGAAAGCCAAGAAGGTGCGTTTCTATCGCAACGGGGACCGCTACTTCAAGGGGATTGTATACGCCGTGTCCTCTGACCGCTTCCGGAGTTTTGATGCTCTCCTCGCTGACCTGACCCGATCCCTGTCCGACAACATTAACTTGCCTCAGGGAGTCCGTTACATTTACACCATTGATGGGTCGAGGAAGATTGGGAGCATGGATGAGCTGGAGGAAGGTAATTAGCATCGCTGTCTGGCGCAGTGAGGAGGCGGGGTAGGAAGGGGGCTGTACGCTTGGGTCTGCTGTTAAGGTCACATTTCCCCGGGATGCTGCTGCCCCTCTGAACTCAACCTGCCTGTTGAGGTGTGGGAGAGGGTGGCAGTGCAGGGGCTGAAAGACCCCGGGGTGTCCCCCAGCATGCTCACTCAGGTGCAGATGTGAAGCCAGAGGGATGTGCCTTATTCTTGGCTAGATATGGCTGTGTCCATTGCTCAGGGGCTGTCTGAGGGTGTCGCCACATCTGTCTGGGTAGGGTCCCAGAGGGATGCAGGGGGTGGCTGAGGAGTGATGTGGGTTTCCCATGGGGGTGGATGGGTATGAATGGAAAAGTGAGGGGTGCTGGTGGGTTCATGTAGCGTGTGTGTCGGGGGGTGGGAGGGATTTATGCACTCTGTGTGGGGAGCGGGGCTTGAGGGGTTCGTGCACATGTGTGTGTACAGGGGTGTGGTCAGGGCTGTGCAGGGCCTTGAGTATGTGTGGAGTGGAGTGTTGGGGTGTGTGCGTATGTGTGGTGGAGGAGGTGGGGTGTTAGGGGTTTTTACAGTGGGGCGTGTGTGGAGGGGTGTGTTGGGAGTTCACACAGTATGTTCAGAGGGGGGGAGTAAGTAAACAAGGTGTTTGCATGGAGAAAGGTGTTTTGGGGGGGGTTGCACTTGGTGAAATTTGGGGTTTTATATGAGTGTGTGTGTGTGTGTGTGTAAAGGAAGGTGTAAGGAGAGTTAGTTGCAGAGGAGGTGTTGGGATTCCCTGAAGGGGTTCATGCACAGGGTGTGTGTTGGGGTTTGTGCTCAGGGGGTGTTTGCAGAGGCGTGTAGGGCTGTGTGTGTGTTTTTTTCTTGCATAGCCATGTGTGTGGAGGGGGCGTTGGAAGTTCATGTGCTGTGTCTGAATCCAGTTCATGCAGGGTCTGTGTGGAAGGGAGGTGTATTGAGATGTTCAGGTGGGGCGTGTGTTTGGGGAGTGTTTCTGCAGGGTCCGTGTGTGGTGTGGTGGGGTGGGTTGCCGTGGTAGCTCTGTGGGGGGGTGTGGGAAGGCAGCCCCTGCATGGCAGGTCTGAGTGTATCCCTATATCTAGAGGGGGTGTTGGTGTGCCTGTTTGAGTGTCACTTGGACTGTGGGATGAAGGATGAGTCAAAAATCAGTCCTTCTGGAAGGGGTGGCCTGGGGGGAAGCTTGCTTCTGTGGAGCTCCACTGCCAACCTTATTCGTGCTTGGGGAGCTGCCTCTGCAGCAGTGAGCTGCTGCCGTGGGTGCTGCCTTCCTCGAGAAGTGTCAGGAGAACCCCTAGGATGAAATTGCTACATGGCCAGTCTTTCCCCCTTGCCCAAGGCATGGCCGTGGACAGGCTCTGCTGGTGGTGCAGCCGAAGTGGGGTGCACAGAGGACACCCACAGCCACCCTGCTTCTCTCTTCCCTGAGCAATTCAGATGCTCCATTCTTTGTTTGGACCTAGTATATACCGATTGCTCTGTTGCAAAAGGGGACTTGCTCTTCCCTGTTCCTTGATGTTTTCCTCCAAGCAGATGACCTGGCTGATTTGGTAACTACAGAAAATCTACAAGGTTTCTGCCTTTAATAAAAGACAATGGATGTGTGTGAGGCACTGAGCTGCAGTGGCCGCCTCAGCAGTGAGTCATTGTGTGACCTTGACTAAAGCATCTCTCCCTAGAATTCCTTCTTTGTCAAGTGGAATACTCATTCCCCAAAATACTTTGTGGGGACAAGCACACAGAATAAATGTCGGTTTCCATAGAGGAGTTTTACTGGGAAGAAATTGCTGCCTTTCAGAGAGATGATGCAGTCATAGTGGAGTTATTCTCAGCTCAGTTACAGCTGTCAAATGGAGGTGTGGCCTCCCTTAATTTTAGAGATTCTGCCATGTTTCATTCTGATCTCTTAATATGGCCACAGCCTTTCTCTAATCGCAGCTCTCTACATGTCCAGGTTTTATGTAAATCTTTAGGAATAACTACACAGAAGAAAATGCAGTTCTTTATTCTCCTTTTATATTCTTCCTGCTTTTTGTTAGTGAAGTTCAGAAACCTTTAGTTGTTATACCTGCATTGCACTGGGTTTTGCTGCAGGTAAGAAGGTACTTAGTTCTTGAAAATATTTTTTAATGGTTAAGGTCTGGGCAGGAGATGCTGGCATTTGGGTTCTGGCTTTGTTCTGCCAAAATGGGATCTGGAAACAGCACTGAAGAAGTGGCACTTAAAAAAGAAGAAAAAAAAAAAGATTATCTCTGTAGCTGTGTCCTCAGTGGAGCATCACCTTTGAAAATACAGTCTGAGCAGATTGAAAACAAAGGAATCCAGTGTCTGAAAATGCAAAAGTAGATAGATCTGCATGCTGTTCTTGATGGTTTAATGTTAATGACATTCCCATATTTCTAGGGGTGACCTATGCTTCTGTTGTAGAGAAACAATCCAGGAAAGACATTACTTTTGATTTATACTACTGTGGTTGTAACCAACCTTATGGTAAACTATGCTACTAGCTTGGGTGTTTGTATAACTGGGTACTACAGACATGCATGGGAACACAGAACTTGAGAGTAACTGTGCTGTAACAGACAAGAACAGTACATATACAAGCACTGTGTCTTTGCCATATAAATTAGCTTTCTGGTTGGAGACTGAGGGTAACTAAACCAGTTCTAGTTTCTATCATGTGACTAATTTATTATTGTAATTTCCAATAAACAATTAGAACCTAGGAAAATAAGTCATCAGAGAAGCTCATCTCAGTTCTTTGATTGCAAAAGCTGGTGAAGTACTGATAATATTTCACATCATGTACTTGATTGCTTATGCATGATTTAAAAATGTGCTTATATGATCTGAATGTACTTCTGGAGGGTAGAGAATGATATTGCATGATACCAATATCCTTGAGGCAGACATTTCAGGTGAACAAAACCCACTTGGTGTGCTGCTAACTAAATGGGACTTGGAAATAACTATTTTGGTTTCCAGACCCAAACTTGGTAGTCTTTTCTTCCCTGGCATTCAGGATTGTTCTCATAAGGTTCTGGATGAATGTTTTACTTCCCAGTTTGTCCAAGATGGAATAAGTAAAGTCTCTCTTACTCTTTGATCACATCCCTCCTAGCTGCCATTGGGATGTGCCTCTTGGTTCTCTCCTGTACTTGAACCCTAGTGCCTCACATTTTGGAAGCCCACCAAGACTCCGTCACATAAGTGCCTTTTGCTGCCTGCTGAGTTCTTCCTCACCTGTTGGCTGGTTTTTTCCATGCTGCCTCCTATACCAGAGAGCTGTATGTGTCTTCCAATGAACTTCTCTCAAAATCCACTTATCTGATCATTTTTTTAACCCTTCTTTCACTCATAATGGCCATCTTCCATCATTGTAGTCACTATCTTAATCTTCACTCCCTATTTTCAGCATTCAGTTTTAATGTATTTGTAAATAATGCACAGGCTGCTATTGATTAAGACTGTATTCCTCCTATAATGCACATGCTGCTGTTGATTAGGACTGTATTCCTCCTTAATGTATATGTTGGCTTAGTGCAGTACTGCATCCTATTGCTGTACTGTTACAGCTGATCCTGACTACAGATAAATCGCTGACAGCATCTCCCATTTGTGTGCTCTCTTGGCTGAGTCAGGAGTGGGTATTAGGCCCGAGTGCTACTATCTATCATGGTTGTTTTAGTCAATAAGTGGGTCTTTTGGAAAAGAGCACCAGGTGATCTTTATTCCCTTTCATGTTATAAATGGTTCTAGTGACCAAGGTTTTAGAAAGTCAGTATATGAAGCTGCCTTTATAGATTATTGGTGAGCCACTGTTGTAACTGTTCTGTGCTTTGTGCTGTGAGAAAACTTGAATATGAAAGATACTAAAAAAGTCACGTGCTGTCTTTTCCAGCCTTGCTCAAGCTGATAGTAGAGTGGCTCACATTGTCATTAGTTTCTACAAAAATCTGGTTGCCTTTGACATCTGGACAGGATGACTGGTTCCTTGGTTCATTTTGAGCCTCTATGTTCTTGTAGACCTATTGTGATGAGATGGCCAATTCTTCCTGCATCAGCTCTGATTGCTCTTTTTCTTTGAATAGGATAAAGGTGGAAGCTGATGTTACTTTGTGTTTATGCGTGATGATCTGCATCCCACAAATGAGATTGTTGTGGGACAAAAGATTTTTTTAGTCCTTTCCATAATTTTGCTGCCTTCCCATGTGGCCCCACTAGCAGTTTCTTGACATAATGAAACAGAGAGCTGCAACTGGAGAGTGAAGGAAAGGCAGAAGGCAGACTCCTGGTTGTTGAAGCCATTGCAGCTCTGAGTTAACCTCAGTGCTTCTGCAGACTGGTTTGTTTCCTCTGGAGGGAAGGACTGTGGACTGACACTTCCTCAGAAGCAGAATTCCCTCCTTGTAATGATGAGACATTTGTCACAACGTATTTAGAGGGCCTGACCAAATGGGACATCCTACTGTGCAAGGCACTATTGAAATGTGTAAGAAGAGTGAGCTCCTGCCCAGGGAGACTATGGTCTGAACATGTCAAGGTGGAAGAAGTTATTGCTACTGATGAGGAACTGAGATGCGCAAAAAGCAGTCTGACTTGTTTGTCCAAAGTCTGTAGACAAAAGAAAAATGAAAATCACACCTCTGAGCTTTCTTATTCAAGTGCTTTCATTCCCTTCTTGAGCCTTTTTCAGGGTCTGGTCAGTGGTTTGGAGGGACTTGCATCTTTCAGGTTTTTTATTATAAGTGGTCTTTGGACCTACTTCTAGTCAGTGTCTGATTTCATGTGAATTTAGTGTCGTTTGCTGTGTACAGTCAGGGTCAGAAATATATGTGACTATAAACCCATCAAACACAAATATAGCATGGATTAGACATGGTCAATAGAGGCAGAAATGCAGACACAGATTAAAACTGTGAGAGAGACTCAGCATTTAGTAGAAGCTATAGAGCTCCTCCCTTCTGGTCTCCTGGCATGCTCAGGCTGTTAGGGCATAGCCCACCTTGCATTGTGGTTGGAGGGCCCATCCCAGGGAGGATTTATGCCCTTGTCCTGTGCTGGGCTACTTGTCTGAAATTTGTTCTTGCCCCAGATTAAACATTAGAAAAAGCTGAAGAGGATTTTGTCTTGCTCAGTCGGGTTTCATTGCAAATGTTCTTGGGCTGTGTGAGATATTCCGGAAAGTGTTTCCAAGCTTTTTGTATCCTGTCATGCCCTAGGGAATCTCTTCCAAAATCTTGTCCAGGAGTGTTTAAAGTAATCATAGGAGGGGCTCCACCCTGGAGCTGTACAGAGCCTGGTGTGTGCTGGGACTGAGGGTTTTACAGGAAATATATTGAAATCTCCAACCAATGTGTGCCTGTTCCAGTTTGCCTGGAAAACTTAAATTCATGTAGTCCAATACTGAAGTCTTGGTAACCTGTGGCATTGTTTTCTATGGCTGTTGTCCTGACAGTTTTGCTAAATACATCTTATGAAACAAAACTTATCCTTGTGGTTCTGTTTTATTTGCTCATCCTGGCTGTCACACTAGGACTGGTATGGTCCCATAAATTCTTTAGGGCCATCGTGTGGTTTTGAAGGTAACTTGGTAATAATGCATTTCTTTCACTTTTTCAACAGAACAAGAGGTGCTTCTCTCTCATGGGAGAGCTTCCTGTGGAAGAGCCAAAGGAAGGAAGCTCTTCCAGAGTTCATTTTGCCATGGTGGAGTAGGTCTTGAGGCAGAGGAGGATCCTTTTTAATGCTTAAGGTAGCAAGAACTTAATGCATTTGAAACAAAGGGCCTACTTTAACACTGTATGTAATGTAGTGAACTCTGCAAGGTGTTAAGTCCACTTAATTCCTATTGAAGTCATAGTAAATCCCACGAAACGTGAAAGCTGGGCACAGTAGCACAATCTCAACTTTGCGACAGCAGAGCTAACAACCAAAATAATTGACTGCAGCCCACAGAGACTGTTTTTGGAATAACTGTTAGCAGTAGCACTCTAAAATGGCCTCAATCCAACTTTCCCAGTTTTTCTTGCAAGACTTCTGCCCACAGTTCATTGTACTTGAAAACTTGCTGGTGCTTTCTGAGACAGGATAACTTTTTCTGAAAGCATAGCCTGTCATTTGTCGTATTGTCACAAGGAGCTGCTGTAAGAGGGTTGAAGGATTAGTGCTCATCTTAAGCTTAGAGTTTCTCTAAGAAATCTCTCTAAGGCAAATCTTATCTTTGAGATCATTCCTTCTTTAGGAACTGAATAATCACATTGTGCTTCTATTGCATTGGTAGCACGGTAATGTGTAATGCACTGGTAGCCAGAGTAATTCAGTGTGGTACAAGCCATGGCTTCACATGACAAATGTGCTGATCATGGCTTAAGGCTGAAGGTCTACAGTCAGTCCATCTAATGCTAAGGGCAGGATAGAAAGAATAAGTAAGTGCCTTGGCTGGTTTAGTGGCACAATACAAATTGTGACACCTCTGGAGCACGCTGGCGTGATAACGAGTGCACATCACCCTGCAGGGCTTTGTCTTTGCAGTACAGAAAGGGCGTCTTGCACTGACCTGGTGCTGCGTGAAAAACATGCTGTCCTTAGCACCACTGGTGTCATGCCCATAGTGTGGTCTTCAGCAGCAGGTTAGATCTTGTCAGGATGATGCTTCTCACTCTTACAAAAGCTTCCCACCCCCAGTGCATGACTGTGTCTCTTTGGGGCTGCCATTTGGGGTTTTGTTTGGAAGTAATGACATGGCTGCTCATCATACCTTCTCATGGATTATGGTTGGATTTCTGCACATGTACACAGCTGCTTGCTGTCTAAAGATGTGTTCCTGAAAATATCTGTGGACAGATTTTTATGCTTAGGGCTGTGGAGCAATATACTTCTTGGAGTTGTTTCTTTTGCTTTTGACAAAATCTCATATCCACTTCTTCCCTTTTCTTCCTGTTACGCTGTGCATGTCTTCTGCAACTGTGCTCTGTCTGTCAGTTACATTTCTTTGACTGGCACAGTTGTACACCTTGACTTCTCATTATAGGCTTAGTATAGATAGATGTAGCAGAGAAACAAAGAAACCACTCCTCTTTCTATGGTAGCACTTTCTAGTCCCCATAAGATTTCTCTGTTCTGTGATCTTCTGGGCATGGTACGCATGTTCAAAGCTGGAAAGTTCACAGGTCTTCAGCTCATGCTTGCCTGATCCTGCTACCACCTCATGGTAAGGTTTGGGTAAAACTACCAATTGTGGGAAGTGAAATAGCACATGTTCCTGGCTGGCAAATGGTAAAAGGGATGTGCCTCACTGAGGAACTTGGATGATAACTTTGCCTGTCTTAGAGATCCTGTAATGGAAAGCCAGACTCAGATGTCAGGTAGGATTTTCAAAGATGTCCAGGCCCTGGAGTTTGCAGTAGGGAACAGATAAGGAAATGCAACCAGTCTGTTTATATGAAGAAGGACTTTTTTTCTTATTCAAAATAAGTTTGATGTAAAAAATATCGATTTAACCATTGTAATATTTGAAGAACTTCGTTCTGTTAAGATCAGCACAATAAAACACCAGAAGAAACTCCGTAAGATCCTGCAGATGCCCATGTTATGCCTTCAGTTTCTATTCAAATTTTATTTAATGGTGAGACAAAAGCTGCTTCGTCTAGCAACGACTGACTTTTTTTTCAGTACATCCTCAAGTGCTCAGCAGCCTGAGTCATTTCAGACTAGACAGCTACATTCCTTTAGGGATACTGCTTTACAGTCTCATTCTAGTAATAACTCTTCTAGCATCCATCAGATATGCAGGCGCAAAAGATCCTATAAATCTCTTAAAACCTTAGATAGGATCCTGTAAACTACAGGCAAAGCTTGAAACTAATTTTGGGTGGGATAGGGAAGGGCTTTTTTGTGAATTACTAACAAGACTGTGTAACCCTTCTCTACCATGTCTAAATTTGTATTTAATATATTTTTGGTTGGTACCAACCATATAAAAGCAAGTAGTGGTATTTGGGGTCATGTTTTATCTCAGCTGCTACTAGGTCTGTCCTCTAATAAACCACTGACACTGTAACAAAGCGTATTCGTTATGCCTGCTAGATTTATCAAAGCTGCTTTTGGTAGACACTATTCAGTACCAGAGTTTCATTATTTTCCAGGCTTGACGCAAGGTACTTTGTGGATGAATGTTGATATCCTCTTGACAGGGGATGACAGACTGACATAGTAGCTAGGTCTGTAAAGATGGAGAGGAAGCTGGCAAATTTACAAGATAATTGAGGTGATTAAATGAATTTGATGTTTAGGAGCTTTTAGACAGCTTAGTTGCATCTTCAGGTACCTTAATGCATTTATAACTCTGAACCTTTTTTTAACCCCTGATTCATGTGACTGAGTGGTGGTATGTATTTGCTGATGCAAACTATGGCTGACTTGCTTACTTTGGGGAAATACTAGTCATTTTAAACAAACATAAATATAAAATTAAAATAAGACAGAATGTTTTAATAACAAGCTGTCATGGAAGGGCTAATGAAAATGATTAATGATTTAAATTATTAATGGGAGGAATGTACAGTGTCTGGTTTTCAGCAGTCTTACAGTAATAACTGTAGAATTAGACTGGTGTTCATTTCTTTCCAAAGGGGAGAGTTACGTCTGCTCATCTGACAACTTCTTCAAGAAGGTGGAATACACCAAGAACGTCAATCCCAACTGGTCTGTCAATGTGAAGACATCTGCTAACCAGAAAGCACCTCAGTCTCTGGCCAGCAGCAACAGCGCTCAGGCAAAGGAGAACAAAGATTTTGTGCGTCCCAAGCTGGTAACCATCATCCGCAGCGGGGTGAAGCCCCGGAAGGCAGTCCGTGTGCTCTTGAACAAGAAGACTGCCCATTCGTTTGAGCAAGTTCTCACTGATATCACTGAAGCTATAAAACTGGAGACAGGAGTGGTCAAAAAGCTGTATACCTTGGATGGGAAACAGGTAGGAGATTTTACAGATGTTGTCTTTTTCTTTCTCTTATCTTGAGGCTTTGCTGACTCAGAACAATTTTTGAAGCCTAAAATTAACGTGAGATGATCACTGCCATCTGTTCTCTCACAAGTCAGTCTTCTCATGCCAGTGGTTAAGTTACTAAATTTTCACTGGTATTAATATCAAGTAAAGAATGTGGCCAACCATCTGAGTGAAACAGATGCTCCATCCTGCATGCCAGCCAGTAGTGCGTGTCTTCTGGACTAGCTAAATAAATAACGTGGAGAGTTCGGCTCACAGCCACCAGTTGATTTGGCTCTGAAGTAATTGCAAGAACTTTCAAGCTTTGGATTCACTGAGTGAAAATGTATTGCTTGACTTTCCTTGCTTGCTAAGATAAACTAATTGATCCAAGCATGCTCTTCTGTCTAGCTCAGTAATTAGCAGGAAAAGCATGGAACTGTGTTGCATTTCCTTGAGTAAAAGCATGAAGAGATAACATGCAGAAAGGGATTTGGGTCAAAAATATTTAGTGGGTCATCATAATGTGCTTCATGTCTACATTTTCCTGGAACTGAAGGAAACATCTGTCTCTTGTTAGCAGCTACACGGCAATAAGCCGTTTCATATTGCTGATGTGGAAGATAACTCTGGGGACTGGGAAGAGCTAGATTCTTCAAGGAAAATTCTGAGCTTGATTTAACAGTTCTGTGTCTTCTGTAACTGAGGGGTAACCTTATTTTTGTCACTGTTTTTCTTGCTCCAGATTCTGGAGTGACACAGCACAGCTCTTGAGTGGGGGTTGGATGCTGGCTGTTCTAGGGATTGATGCTACTGCTTTAAATTAACTCTCTTTCCTATTTCTGGAGAAAATTATTCAAGTACTGCCTCTTGAAATACCATGCCAAAGCTAGGCAATGCATCCAACTAACGTGCAGGATTTATGAAAATATATTAAAATCTTCATCCTTCTAACCCCAAAAAAAGGCTCATAAAGTGTCCTGTGCAGTCCAGGTGCAGCATCTGGGAACTTAAAGTAGCACGTTGCTTTAACCTGTCTGATATTGTTGCTTTGTCCCAACCTCTGTATCCTGCACATCCAGTTTCAGATCTACAAAAATCTCATCTGCCTGTCAGAGCTTTTCTTTCCGCTTGTCTCAACCCAGTACTTTTTCTTCACAAGATGTATAGTTTATACGAGTGGGTGACTTTCCAGCTGGACTGTCCATAGCTGTAGTAGCATGCTGTAAATAAGCAGTGATACAGGGAGTGATGTACTGGAAAACTTGGAAGTGGCTGGGGGAAGAGGAAAGAGCGACTCAAGTGATCTCTCCTCACTGAGGAAATCATACATGGGCACAGGACCATGTGTCTTGAGTCACAGCAGTTTTACAAAGGGTTTAATGATAGATCTGGCCTGAAAGCAGTTGCCTGCTCATGCTGACACAGAGTCCTGTTGTTCTCCCAATTGTGAATAAGGATCTCAATCTGAACCTGTAAAATGCCTCAGTTCTTTGACAACAGGCAGCATTTTGAATGTGAGATGTTGCTTTGGACGGGGTGCAGATACAGGGATGCCCCATGAGCTTCTATCAAACTTCTGCTCTCCCCATTTAAGCTAGCTCCAGGAGTAAGTGGTGTTTCCCTCTCCACCTCTGACTGGAGAGCAAGAGAATCAGCCTGTAAAGGGACCTGTGACTGGACCAGCCTGTGAAATGTGTTAATTCCTAAGCGGGGATTTGGGAAGTGCTGCTTGCTCTGGAGTCACAGATCGCCTAGAGCAGTGCTGCTGTGGGGCAGGCTGCAGTCTCTTGTTGGGGTGGCTGCTGTGCATAGGGCTAAAGCTCA